ATTAAAGCAACGAACCTTTTTTCAGGTTTAATAGCATAATTTTGAGCACTCTTAACAAATTTTGCGTGTTTTCATTCTAAGTCCCAGACCAGAGCTTATTTGAGCATGTTGAAAAACGTAGTGTTAAGCAACGAAAATGTATCATGCATGCATCTTTGAACTTATGAGATGTTGATGAAACTGTTTCATTAATATGTTTTGAGTCGCCACCGAACATTTTAACGAGTTTACTTAATAGATTCCTCCAAAAAAAATTGCAAGTCCCGTGACGGTGGAGGAGTACGTGAGGTTATGGCGGCGCCATCCGTGCTGCCACCTGTGGACGGACATAGTAACTAGTAACTACTTCACAGTGAGCGCGCGGGCGTTTAAAATGTACCTTTTATCGTCACACACTTCTCCCCCATTAATCTGAGATAAAATCACGAACTGATTTTGAAGAACTACTCTGGTTTGGTTAAAGAACGAGTTTCCTACTTAGCACAAAATTTATTTTGTGTTCATAGTTTCCCTTGTTTTTTTTTTTGTTTTTTTTGTAGTTCTACCTGTCTCATTTGCGACAACGTGGGTATGGACCGAACTCGACGGGGAAATCACTTTGGTTCGTAGTGTACGAGCTATTCCGTGGTATATCTCTTGCCATTTTGGTTATTTCTCGCGTATTTCAGATTATTTCAGGTTATTTCAGGTTATTTCGCGGTATCTCGGGGGTATTTCGCGACTATTTACCGACTAATTTACCGACTTTTCGCGTCGATTTCGCCTTTATTTCGCCTGTATTTCGGACTATTTCGGGGAAAGGTGTACGAACTATTTCGCAAGTGATTTCCCCCTCGAGCACCCCGGAAAGCGTCAAAGGGAACCAAAATTGGGACAGGAAAACAATCCAAACGATTTAACGAAGCCTTAGAGCGAATATGCACGGTTTTTCTGATAATCATCCCTGTACTTCGAAAATTTGATTGCTTAAACTTGTTCAAATTTAATTTGTGCATAGAAAACTGCGAAAACTTAACAGAAAATACTTTGCATTACGATTGACTGCTTTGCTACACTCTAAATGACCATGGATTTCTGTGTACTGTGCATAAACGCATGACAAGGGAACCCCACCGAGTGTAAATTCACGACTTTCATTCTAATTAATGGGTCATCGAAGGACACACAATTATTATTTTTTTAGCCCAATTTTATGTTTAGGGGTCATTTTGGGCATTCATTCCAAACGGCCGCTATTTCAACTTTTTTCTAATAATTTTCAAGATTACTCTTCAACAGACTTATCTAAATGCAGTTTTTAGCCCGCCCTGCTTCTGCTTTGAAAAAGCTGTCCAGCGGGCTTATGCGAGCGACCTCGTGTCTGTCTGTGTGTCTGTCTTTCCACTAGAAGGAGATGTGCTAGACACTTCAAATTTTCAGTGTATTTTAAGGTTCACTCCTAGAAAACGAAACGCCTACGGCAAATCCTGGCAACCATCCCTAAGGGGCCAAAAGGGGGTATCAACGAAAGTGAGTTAGGTCAGAAAAGTCAGTAAAAATATTTTTAGTATCTCCTAAGGGGAACCCCGTCAGAGTAGAGCCCGTTGGGCGAAAATTTCGCCCGTTTGGCTCTATATCTAACCGTTTAGGCGCTGGAGGGTCTTTTTTGACGAAAATAAGCTAAAAATTGCTGTAGTGAACAATAAGTTGTAGAAGAAGGCCTAAAACCGCAAAAGAGGAAAGATACCCCCACCCCAACCCCAAAAAACGTTTTCTAAGCAGAAGAGTGGGTTCGAGGGTGGGTTGTAGTCGCGGTGCTTCACCGTTACATCACAGCAAACATTTTTCCGGGAACTTCCCGGTTGGATTCGGGAAGTACATTTTCTGGTTGCTCCAAATGTTATAACATGCATAGATATGACGAAAAATAACATCCGGAAAATTACTTCCCGGATTCAACCGGGAACTTGCCCGAAATATATTTGCTGTGATCCCTTTCGCGTGTGTACGGGGCAAATTTTAGGGACGACGGGCTTTGCGGGCCGAAGGCCCGTTACATCATTTGATTATGGTCTTCAGCAAACCGCGTTACAGAAATGGTCGGGCCGCGGCCCGACCATCGTCGCCGGCAGGCCAAGCAGGCCCGGCCCCTGCCGAACGGAGTTGCCAGTGCACGGAAGCGAAGCTGGCATCTTCGTTGGCGGAAGGGCGGGCCTGCTTGTTTGGTCTTAACTTTCGTCTGTTTTGCTCTACACTGATAAACTAAGTGTTGAGCTGCTCAACACTCTTAATTGTACAACTTCAAGTTGAATGCCTGCAACTGTGCAACTCCGTAGTTTACTCTTACATTTGCAAGTTTTCTACTCTGTAGGTGTGCACTTTCATGTGTACAACTCCTTGGTTAAACACTTCCCAATATTGAACGCTCACCGTGTAGGATGTGATCAACCGAAGAGTTGAACAAGTGCGCACCTACCGAGTTGCACACTTGCAAGTATGTAACTTGCAGCTTAACACTTACAAGTGTTGAGCCGTTGAACACTTTGTTTACCCGTGTAAATTAAGCCGTCCAGGCGCTACGCCACGTTTAGGAGGGGAAATTTGCGGGAACCACTAGGGCTGAGCAGCGATTGTACAAACCAGTACTATAAAAAATAAAATAGAGAATAAATAAAGATCCTACCTTTTTCTACAATTTTTTTTTTTTGATTTTTTTTTTTGTGGGACTGGCTGAACTGTCAGAAAGTAATTTTAAAAACTATGGAAAATACTTGAAATAGGAGCTTTTGGAACGAATGCCCAAAATGACCCCTAAATATGGAACTGAGCAAACGCTTTTGATATGTCCTTTGATGACACATTTAGACCTGCACTTTCCCAAAACAGCATGAAAATCCGAAGTTTATACTTGGTGGGTTTTCCTTGAAAGCCGGATGCCATATTGTGTTTTGTTAGTTACAAAATCTCTCTAGCTAATTTTAAATTTTTACTAACAGCGCTCATAAAATTTTATCCTTCTTAAAAACGCACACTCAAGTCCACAAGTCAGTAACAGTGACGGCCATAGTCATTTAGAGTGCAGGTTTTAACTCTGTAGCTTAAATTAATACACTATGTAAGGAATGTAAAGGTGGATTCAGAGTTCCCTAAAAGCGAGCGTGATTTTCACGCAAAGCGTGATTCTCACGCAAAGCGTGATTCTCACGCAAAACGTGATTCTCACGCAAAGCGTGATACACACGCAAAGCGTGATTTTCACGCCCGGCGTGATGAAAGTCGATCCCTGATTGGCTGCGCGAAGCTTGCGAAGCGTGGAAATCACGCCTGGCGTGAAAATAACGCTTGCGTTTCGTGAACTCTGAATCCACACTAACACTTCTGGTTGCGCTAACACAAACCTATTGTTTGCAGATGAAAAATTTCCCGAAGTTGTGGAAGCGTTTGTCGGTGCCATGTCCCGACTCGAGTTGGCTGATCTCCACTCAGTTCCCGTCGCATTGTTTCCTGCAGTAGCAAATTTGAAGCACCTTAGAAAACTGTCTGGCACAGTAACTTATCCAGAGGGCGAGTTTCAGAAGTGCAAGACTGCTGTTGAGGAGTTCAAGGCTAAACGTCCTGATGTTAAGTTGAAACTTGAAGCCTGGACTGGGCAGGACATTGTAGAAAGTGGGCAAAATTGGTCCTCATACTCCAAGGAAATGTTTTTATTTGAATAGATACGCAAATATAGATGTAATAATAATATTAATTCGAAATGTAAATAAACAGTTTTAACATATGACAATTTGTGTTTCGGCCGACCGACAGCGAAGCTTATTAAGGATGATTTGCGATAGCAACGCTGCAAGCGGAGCGCTACCGCTAGCGTTATTACAACGCTACCACAACGCTTCCACTCCCCCCCCACCCTGTACTTACTTGTTCCCCAGCGTTAATGCTAGCGTTTAGGATACGCTCACTGCGTTGCTATCGTAAATCCTTTTTTACAAACCTTGACCGAAAAGAACGTCTCCTGTCTTCACTAGTAAAACAAGTTATAGAAATGAACACTTTAGTCCATAGTTAGCGTATTTACACACAACATAGGGTTTAGTTATGTTTAGCTATGCACTTCAGGTTACTTGTGGCACCTGTTCTCAAGCGGGATACGTTTATCAGCGTCGTAACTGCCATTTGATGCAATAGTTAGAGTGAGAGTGGAACTCGGCGAAACTCAAATTATAACTCAATATGAAAACACGACAACACCTAACCTCTAAATCTGAACTTTTGAATTATGATTTTTTCCTATTCTCAAGTCTTTCACATGATTAATAACACTTAAAATGTTGCCCAACTTTTTAAAACTAAGAAAAGTCACTTCCAGTCCTTATAGACTGTGTTTTTCTCAATTTCGAAGCATTTTACCACAGCGACTGACGGGGCGAGTGAGGCGGAGGCAACCGCAACAGAGTTTTTGAATGGTTTACGTGCTTTCAGACGTACTTGCACACGTAAATCATTCAAAAACTCAGTTTCTTTTCTTTTTATTGTACACGCATCAAACTTTGCAGGACGAGTTCCGCAGCTCTAAAACTAAGAGAAACACATTAAATTTGACCAACTGACAATTTGATCAATTGTTACAAAGCTATATAGTAACGAGGTGGGCGCAGCAGCAGCCACGCTAACTTTGAGGGACTTCCTCAAAATTTGTGACTTACTTTGAGGGTCGTTCTTATTTTTCAAGAAAGATCCCTCAAAGTTACTGACTCCCTCTAAATTTTCCCTTTTCCCTCAAAAAATGGGACTTCGTTTTTACCGTAAATGTCGGTTAGTGTAAGTCGTATATCGCTTATTTTCGATTCTTGGGTTGTAATAGTGTTTTCCAGGCGCCATTTTGGATGAAAACTCCTGGAAACATTTTTTAAGTTTTTTCCTTTAACGTTTTCATAACCCTACCTTGCCTGTCATTCTGGCCTGCCATAAAAGGTGGTTTTGAAAACCTCAATTTTGGGCGTATTTTATTCTTGACTAAACACGCAATTTTACGGTCCCCTGGGTGAAAATTTTAAGGAGAAGGCTCTATATCTGCCGGTTTGCATAATATGAATTGTTTTTATATTGCTGTAAATAAGCAACCTTTTCCCTTCCAAAAATAATTCGTAGCTTGAAAACCGTCTGAGATAGAGCCTTCTCCTCAAAATTTTCGGCCAGAAGGCCGTAAAATTGCGTGTTTAGTCAAAAAAAAAATAAGCCCAAAATTGAGGTTTTCAGAACCACCTCTTATGGCAGGCCAGAATGACGGGCAAGGTAGGACGAAAACGTTAAAGGAAAAAACTTTAAAAATATTTCCAGGAGTTTTCATCCAAAATGGCGCCTGGAAAACACTATTACAACCCAAGAATCGAAAATAAGCGATATACGACTTACCCTAATGTCGGTTTAAACATCCTAACCGACACACAAGCGATCGAAGTGAATGGAAGTGATTGGAAATGGTGACTAAGGTGTCATCTACCGATATCAAACAGAACAAGCATGCCCGCCCTTCCGCCAAACGAAGTTGCCAGCTCCGCTTCGCTCCGTTTCGCTCCGCCGGCAACTCCGTTCGGCAGGGGCTGGGCCTGCCGGAGGCGATGGTCGGGCCTGCGGCCCGACCATTTCTGTCACGCGATTTGCTGAAGAACATGATCGAATGATGTAGCGGGCCTTCGGCCCGCTTAAACCCGTCGTCTTTGAGTTTGCCCCAAAGAAAAAACTCGAGAAAAAGATGTAACGGTGAAGCACCGCAACTACAACCCACCCTTCTGCTTAGAAAACGTTTTTTGGGGGAAGGGGGAGAGTTTCCTTTCTATTTTGCGGTTTTTAGGACTTTTTCTACAACTTATTGTTCACTACGGCAATTTTAAGCTTATTTTCGTCAAAAAAAGACCCTCTAGCGCCTAAACGGTTAGAGATAGAGCAAAACGGACGAAATTTTCACCCGAAGGGCTCTACTTTCACGAGTTACCTCTTTGGAGATCTTAAAAAAAAAATACTTCTGGGGAGAATTTTTGAACCTTGGATACACCCATTCACACCCTTACAAGGGAACTCATCTAAGTGTTAGTCCCCGATTTTGTTCCGCCTTGGAGGTTTTGTATAGTGACCGTATTTGAAACGATTGGCAATGAAAATTCGTGCCCAATTTCATATTCGTTTTTATAGGGAACATCCATTTTCTCCAGAAATGACTAAAAAAAGCATTTTTTCTGAAAAAAACAAAAATGACCGAGAGTTTATATTTGTATTTGGCCTTAAATCGACTTTTTAAAACTGAATACATACAAGCTGTGGATAATTTTTGGATTTTTCAGAAAAAATGCTTTTTTTAGTCATTTCTGGAGGAAATGGATGGCCCCTATAAAAACGAATATGAAATTTGGCACGAATTTTCATTGCCAATCGTTTTGTATACGTTTACCCTACAAAACCCCCTAGGCGGAACAAAATCGGGGACTAACACTTAGATGAGTTCACTTGTTAGGGGTGGTTGCCAGAATTTGCCGTAGGCGTTTCGTTCTCTAGGAGTGCACCTTAAGATACCCTGAAAATTTCAAGTCTCTAGCACATCTTCTAGTGGAACAGACAGACAGACACACACGAGGTCGTTTGCATAAGCCCGCTAGATAGCTTTTTCAAAGCAGAAGGGCGGGCTAAAAATTTGTGATTCTAAAGTCTAGATTTTTGATTTTGGTCGCAATTTTGAGGCCAAATCTCCCACTGTGCGCCGGGCTGCGGGCTGGTTGCCTACTCATTT